CACAGGAGCCATCTCTTGGGCACTGATTGTGCAGATGGTAGCTCTGGGACCCAGGGAAAAACAACCTGCTGCCTGTTCCTGGGAAAGCTGTATTACTGGGACCCTATCCCAGCAGTTGAGTTTGAAACAAGCGTATGCATCCAAAGCACATTTAACCAGGCCTGGTGATATAGGTCCTGTAATCCCAGCTCCTTGGGAGGTTGACACTGCAAGGCATGTTAACGGCCTACCTGAACCACAGAGTTAAAGGCCTGCATGGGAAGCTTGATAAGAAGACTATGACTCAAGGCAAAAAAGAGGACGGGTAGGTACCTCAGTGGTAGAATACTTGTCTGTGACGACGTGTAAGGTCCTGGGATCAATTCCCACCATGGTACAGAAAAGAAGAAAAGAGAACATTTTATAGTTTAGATGTGCTCAAAAATGCCTGAAGTGTTCATGGAAAAGGTAGACAGAGGGGCCCTCAGTGTTCTTGGTTCCCACCCAGTTCCCAATCCCCCCTTTCACTCTGCCACCCTCCTTCCCTGTGTCCTCTTCCCTTTGCCAGTCGACAAACGTTTCAGAGGACCCATATGCAGGAAGTGAGACAACCCCACACAGCTAGACAGCTGCACGATACAAACGCTACCGCACAAACCTAATTGAAGGAAATCAGGGGGCCTAATGCTAAGGAAGTGCAGAGCCAGTCCTGACCCTCGAGACATGTCTTCTTAGCACATGAAGACAGAACTCGAAAAACAGCCAATATATGGAAATTCAGAGGCCAGAGAGGTGGCTCAGTGGGTCAAGGGCTTCCCACACAAGCGTGAGGACTTGATGAACATCCACATAAAAGCCAGATGTGACTGTGTACATCTGTGTGGTGGGGGTAGAGAAAAGCAGAATTTGGGGGCTCGTTGGCCAACCAACATAGGCAAAATGGCAAGCCTGAGGTTCAGGAAAACACATTGGGGGGAGGGGGTGATGAGTTGGAGAAGCAATTGAGCAGGACACTCAAAATCAACCTCTGGCCTTCCACACATGCCTCCATGAATACGCATGCCCACTCACGCATGTGCAGGCCCAAACACAGCAAATAACCAGCATCTTTTAAAATTGAAATAAAGAAAGTTTAAAATGATAAAACAAACATTCTTGAGAAAACAAACACTGAGACTCCTGAATATGGCAAGCATAAGTAGCAGGCTTAAAATTCACCAGAATGTAGTTATTTTTATATTAGGACCATGCATGCTTTTCCCCTAAAGTAGGGGTAGAGGAAAATGTGGGTTTTTTTTATTTTTCTTAACCCTCTCCAAGTTTACGGCAATTGCATTTTTGCAGTCTATTTTCCACACAAAATTTTAATTTAAAAAATACTTACTTTATTTTATGTGCATTGACTGTGTTATCTGTGTGGGTGTTTGTACACTAGGTACATGCCTGCTGCCCATGAAGGTCAGAAGAGGGCATCAGAACCCCTGAAACTGGAATTACAGACAGTTGTGAGCTGCCATGTAGGTGCTGGGAACTGAACCCAGGTCCTCTGCAAGAGCAGCCGTGCTCTTAACCATCCCCAGATTTAATTTTTGCAAACATAATGCCTCAAAGTGGTCTCAGGTCAGGAGAGGCTGACCATATCTGAAATGACCCATCTCAGTAAGAAGACCATCAGGAAGTGATGTGGGAATGGTTTCTTATTAATAAAGAAACTGCCTTGGCCCATTTTATTGGCTAAGGAATGGACTGGATCTACCTGGCAAAGCCACGGCTTTAATCCTACTCATATTGCTCAGTAATTTAAAGGCTTGTGTGGTCAGAAAAAGAGAGATATACAGTAAAGAGATTCAAAGACAAAGAAAACTTTTAAATGATTTACAGTGTTAAAAATATATGCAAGTTAAAAGTTAAAAGTTCTT